TGCGGCAGCATCTCCTTGGTTGCCACCAGGCGCGCGGTCGACGCATCCTGGATGTGCTTGATCTTCAGGCCTTGGCGGCCAATAATAGTGCCCATCAGGTTGTGCGAGATCAGAATGCGCACCACGGTCTGCAGGGATGCAGGCGCAGTCGGCTGCAGGCCCGGGTGGGTCGTGACCATGGGGTTCTCGACCAGTGTCTGGGCGACCAGCTCGTAGGCGTGGGCGACGTTGGGTAGGAAGCCGGTCACCGAGAGCACGCGATCGTGGACGCCGGGGACGACCTTGGAGACGCCTGCCTTGACGTTCGCCACGTCGCGCAGGTCGGCCACGTTCTTGCCGCCCTTGCCGATGATCACACCGGCCTCCTTGGTCGATACCAGCGCGCGCAGAGTCAGCTGCGTGTCCTGGATCGAGGGCGCGTCGCCGCTGCCCATGGCTGCCTTGGTTAGATCGACGGTGGATGCGCTGGGGCTGTCCTCGTGCTCGGACGAGCTGCTGCCGGGGTCGGGGAAGGCAACGCCGTTGGTTGGCTTGGCAGTCTCGAGGTTCAGGGCGGCAAGCTGGTCGGCTGCACTGTCAACGCCGTTGGTGTAGTGGTTCTGAGACATGTTGCTGGTGGGTGGGTGGGGGACTACAGGGGCCAATTAAAAACAGGGGCAGGGGATTTTCAGCTTAGGCGGCCAAGAAAGAAACAAAACGGAGAAATGGGCAGCGTGAAAGGGGGAGGGGGAGCATGATGGTTCCAAGAAACCGGAAACATCACGGAAAACACAAAGTACATGGCCCACGCGAAGGGAGGTTTTGGAAGCCAGATGAAGGCATGCTGGCTGGGCTGCTTGCTGGCAAAGCATCCAGTGCTTACAAATATTGCGTGGTCCTTGACGCACAGTAGCGGGGGGTTACCCAAAAAGCGACCAGAGTGGTAAGCTTACCTTTATCGAAAATGCCACGAGATAGTGAGTGGAAATAGTGGAGCTCGAAAACGAAGTCAGAAGGGTTTGGGAGCTGGGTCTGTTGTGCTGTTCAGGTCTTTTCGTCGTAGGTGGAGGAATACAAAAAGGCGAAAGAGCAAGAATAAAGCAGGGGCTGTGTAGGGGAAGAGAAAAATGAAGGAAGAATGAAAATGAAAAAGGGTAGAGAGGTAGGGGAAGAGGAAGAGAGAAGGGCGGGTGGGAAATGGACGACTATAATTACAAGTCGGGTTGAATGAGAAAGAGAGAAAAAGAGGTGGAAGTGGGTAGGGGAGGAGAGAAGAGAAGAGGGCGAAGGAGAAAAAGGGCTGAGGAAATAAATGGGCAGTCAGGAGAGGGACAAGGTGGGCTCAGTGTTTACGAGTGCCAGGGAAATCCGACCAATGGATGGCGCCAACGACCCAGGGCTTCAAAAAATTCTTCACTCAGCATGGCACCGGCAGGCGGCCCTTTTCCACCCTTGTATTCACGTATCCAGTATTCATGTTTATCGACACGTTTGAGCTATCGTGCTATGTGCCGTCGCGGCAGGACGGACGGGCGCTGGAGACGCGCGTGGTGGTGAGCCAGGCTACGGCGGCAGAGACGGAAGAGTATTCTCCGCACCACGCCATCGTGTTCCTGCACCCATACCCGCCGCTGGGCGGACAGTTCCGCAACAACATCGTCCACGAGCTCAACGCACAGTACGCGCAGCGCGTGCGGCTCGCGGTGTCGTTCAACCTGCGTGGTGCCGGGCGCTCGGAGGGCAGCACATCATGGACCGGGATCGCCGAGCAGGAGGACCTACGGACGATGCTCGATGCACTGGCCACCCGGCGCCTGCCGCTGCACGCCAAGGCGCTGAAGACCAGCAGGCCCGCCCTGCTGCAAATGCAGGCAAGGGGCTTTGTGGAGACGGTCGAGGATGCCGTGCCATTGCCGGAGATCTCCAGGGTTCTGCTGTGCGGGTACAGCTACGGCTCGGTGGTTGCGTCGGCGATTTCGCCGGAGGAATACCCGGGGCTGGCCATTGATTATGCATACGTGTCGTTTCCCTATAGCGTGCTGTGGGCGCTGACGCTGCACCGCAAGAGCTGGTATCTGCAGCACATTGAGGCGACGGTTGCTGCTGCCGCTGTGGCTTTTGCCCGTGACGGCAATAGTGCGTGTGCTCCACGCTCCATGTTCATTTCGGGCTCGTCAGATACATTCACGTCGTCGTCGTCGTATGAGCGCTGGTGGGCCATGCTGCGCACGCGAGCCATGCGGGCGGCCACGGAGGCGCTGGCGGGGGCCGATGACGCCGAGACGAGAGCAAAAGCAGCGGTCGGCCAGGCGCTGAGCGTGGTGATGGTGCAGAACGCCGACCACGGGTGGTGTCGGCGCGAGACCGATGTGTCTGATGCGCTGGGCAAGTGGTGGCCGTGAGCAGATTCTGCAATCGTCCGACATCACGTGGCCACAGCGTTCCATGTTTACGTTTGGGCTCGCGATGATTTGCTCCTTCCCCGCCGCCGATCCACGCACCAGCCAATTCTCAACTGTACACATAGCATGGTCCAAAAAGCAATAGAGCATTTCATTAAACGGTGACGGCATTCTGCATAAACAGATTCTGGTAGAACCGCACGCCCTCAACGGTCTCGTCGCGGCACACCTGGCCAGCGCGCTCGCACAGCCCCAGGTGCTCCTCGGCCAGCGGCAGCGAGCACTCCTCCATGGCGGCCAATTCGCCAGACGTGATGGGGCCGAAGCTGCGGATATACTGGGCAACGCGCTGGATAATCGCGGCGTCGCTGGCCGAACTAGCATCCTCGATGGTCAGCAGGCCGCTCGGGTACTCGCGCAGCCGCAGGGCCAAGTGCAGGCGCTCAAAGTTCCGGCACGCCATGACAAAGTCGGCCGGGTAGACCAGCGAGAACTCGCGCGCGCGGTTATACAGGCAGTATGCGTCGACCAGCGCCACGGTGCCGCCATGCTTGGCCACGTAGTTCTCCAGGAAATCGGACAGCTCGCGCGCCAGCTCCTCGTGGAACATGGCGCCGGCGGTGTCGCGCGTCACAGGGCTGTCAATGCCCAGGTCCAGCAGGTACTGCCGGAACGCATCCGCCTGCTCTGCGTCGTCGTCTTTGCTGCGCAGCTTGCTGGCTGCGGGCGAGTTCAGCTGCGTGGCAATCTTCTCTGCCAGAGACACAATCTCCTTGGCCTTGGCTGCCAGGCCGTCCAGGTCCGCAAACGCTGTCTTGAGCGTGTCGTCGCGCGTGCGCTCGTTCTCGTGCGCTGCACTGACCAATGTCGAGATCCCGCCCACTGTCGGCCGCCGATCGCCTGGGAACATAGGCTGCGCTGGGCTCGCAGCCTCCGCCGGCTCCAGCCACGCCTTGTCGTTAAGCACGTCCTTCAACGCCGAGTGGAACGACGACGACCCGCCGGCGCGGAACGACAGCTTCAACAGCTCGCTTGCGTCTTCGTCGTCCGAGTCATCATGCACTGCGCGCTCCCCGGGCGTCGGCGGGACCGGTCGCGTAAGCTCGGCCTCGCACATTTCGCACCTGGCCATGCTGATGTGGTTGTGGAATGTGCATACCGCGCATGTCAGCTGCAGCTCGGCTTTCTGCGTGGGCTCCTCGTACGGCACCCCGCATAGCGAGCACTTGTCCAATGCACCCACGTTCATGTTGTCACAGATAGGGCACTGCCATTCAGTGCGGGACTGGCTGGTGGCCGGCTGCGTGGGCTCGCTGCCGCGCCGTGACCCGTCCAGTGCCCGCAGCCCAGAGTCGCGTGCAGGCGCTATGTGGAGGCGGACTTTGCCCGACGAGTAGATGAACCCGCTGTGCACCGAGCTGCGCTTGACCCGCGCCAAATCCAGCGCTGCCGAGCGCTCGTGTGGCCGTGCCTGATCGACATAGACAATCCTGTGTGTGGTCAAGTACACCGTGCCATTGTCGTGCTCCTCGTCGCGCTCCGCCCTACACCACATCAGTTTCCTAAGCCTGGTGGACAAAACACAGTCCTGGGACATTACGTCTGCTTATGCGTAATACGTTGCCCTACCCCTTGTATAGCCCCACTTTGTTTTGCACGCTGATGATCTTCTCGTTGCTTTCCAAGAGCGGCCGTAGTGTCGGCGCCAGCTCCACTTGTTCCATCCTTTGGTTGGCTGCTGATAAGAGATAAAGGCGCGGTCTTGGCTGCGGAAATCAAATAAAAAGTGCTACGTAGATGGCGTATCTATACTCCCTGTGTCCACCATCTAGTCGCCTGCTTTGGCGCATGATAGCGTGCGCTCCAATTTATGGAGAAAAATGGCCTGTGATTTTCGGGTATATGTTCTTGCGTTTCAGGGAGCACCGTTGGCTAGTGCTTGCTCTTGCTGCCGGTTGCATGTTGCTCGCTTAGGGACGGCATTGCTCCTTTTGATACATTGCTGTGTACCCTACACGCAACAGCGCGCATAGGGCTCAATCGCGCTGTTTTTTTAATCGCCCAAGCGGCGTAATTCGTACCGTCCCTTTTTGACACACTGCCCCTCGCACCATCAAAATGACTAAGCTAAGCTCTGGAACGCCCAATGAGCTTTTTTTAATCTTGCATCCCTATTCCTTCGCACGGCTCTGTGCTTAAAGCAAACGACGTGTGCGGCTTGTTCTCTTCAGCAGTTTATTTCTCGCCTCGTATTTTATTTGTTGACTTTTTCCTCGCACACATTTCCGTCATTCATGGCAAATGCGTGCTAAAGTCGCTAGTCCCCTCCTCCTGTAAAGGTGAGTCTGCAAAGCGTTCGTCCCCCATGCCGCCAACTGGCATGTTTTCCCGAGTACTCAATCGCTTACAATCCCATGGCGCTTTCTCCACATAGACCTATATCTTGCCCTCTTCCCGTAAATGAACTTCAATATTCCACCACAAGACACGCCCTCAGCACGGCCGGTCTCCAGCTCCTCCATCGACGGAACCCCGCATTTCCTGGCGTCTCCCACGGTACCAACAGTGGCCGCAGCATTCGAGCAGCACGGTGATAGTCCCGGGTCACAATCAACCGACAGTAAGCGCCAGCGCATCTCTCGCGCATGTGACAGGTGCCGCCGCAAGAAAGTAAAGTGCGATGGCCGGCGCCCCATCTGCACGCACTGCCAGGCAATCGGCAGCTCCTGCACATACCTGGACGTGACCAAGAAGCGTGGCCCGCCCAAGGGATACATTGAGGCCATTGAGAGCCGGCTGCACCGGATGGAGGACCTGCTTGGCGCCCTAGTGCAGACCGATCCGAAGGCGGCCAAATACGTGCTGGAGGCGATGCGTGCGTCGGACGAGCACGGCGTCAGCGAGATGATGGCGAACCCGGGGGCCAAGATCATTGGTGATATGACGGTGAAGGAGCTCGAGAACGAAGCAAGGCAGGCATTCAACGACACGAAGCCTGATGTACACATGCAGGAAAGCCCGGGGATCAAGAAGCTGCGGCGAACCAGCGTTCCGCCCGCCCTGCATGCGTCACCGTCAACCGTGGCCTCGTCGGGCACACCCAGCAGCAACGCTGACGATCGGCCCGAGTCCATGCCGCCATTGGGACCGACACGGTCGCGGTCCAAATCCACGGCAGCGCTTGACCGCAACGGCAAGATGGTCGATGACGGCGACGAGCCCGAGGACATTGATCGCGCAGAGCACCTGACGCGGCTGGAAAAGGGCGTCGGCCATCTGACGCTCGATCCAACAGGTGCCTTACGGTACCTCGGTGACAGTAGCGGCTGGTACATCATCAACCGCAGCCTGGTGTCGTCGGAATCGAGCCCGCGGCTGACAAAGGGTGTCCACGGGGCCTTCCGCTGGCCACCAATCACAACCTTCAATTCACGCGAGGGCGAGTCCAGCGGCAGCAAACCAGCAGCCAACGCTGCTCCATCTGGTATCGAGGCCTGCGCTCCAGGTGCCCAGCCTGTCAGTGACAGCGCCATGGCGTGTGTTGTCCCGGTGCCGCGGAACATGCCGCCCTGCGGTAAGCCGCCCATGCCCGACCGCGAGGAGGCCGACCAGCTGATCCACCTGTACTTCCAGTACGTCCACCCGGTCTTCCCCATCATCTACAAGTCGTACTTTTTGTCCCGCTACTACAACCAGGAGACACAGCCCTCGCACGCCCTGCTCTCTGCCATCTACGCGGCTGCGTCCACATACAAGGCGCGCGAGGCAAAGTGCGAAAAAGACCTGGCGCCGGGTGCGGATCCAGATGGCAGTGCATTTCCAGCGCGCAAAGACGTTCCTGGACGAGCAGTACACGCTCAACACCACCGCGTCGATTCTGACGCTGCTGCTGATGTCGGTGTACGAGCAAGGCACCATGTCGACGCGCAGCTGGCTGTACTCGGGCATGGCCATCCGCAAGGCCTACGATCTGGGGCTGCACCGCGATGTCGGCATCTCGAAGCACAGCCCGAATGCCATCGTGTCGCGCACCGAGACCGAGGTGCGGCTGCGCGCCTGGTGGGGATGCTTTATTATGGACATCATGGTCAGCGCGACACTGGGCCGCCCCACCACCATCCACGACTTCACCTTTGACGCCCCATTCCCAACCGACTACGGCGATGACAACGATGAGCTGCTGGTCAGATCGTCGCTCACCGGCAGTACGCCTGCTGCCACCACCCCGCCGCCCAATACGCACCGGGCGCCCAGCAACCAGCCTGTGGGCTCGTCAAAGTGCATCCCGCCGGCAATGGCCGAGCGCATGCGCGACTATGTCTCGCTGGAGGTCGGTGATTCGGACTCGGACTCGGAAATCTCGGACATGGAGAACGAGGACGCCGGCCCCCGCAAACCGCGCAAGTGCAAGCCGCTGGGTGTCTACTACCTCGAGCTCCTGCACATTTTCGGCCATGTCTTGTCGGAGATGTACGCATGCAAGCCGAACCGCAGCTTTGTGGCAAAGTACTGCCTGCACGAGCTGCACTCGCGCATCGAGCGTCTAATCACACTGGACCACGAGCTGCGGCGGGTGGAAGATGTCGTTGCCGGTCGACCTGCAGTACCCGATTGAGGACATCCTCGCTGCGAAGCCCGCGCGGTGCGTGTACATTGCGCTGATCCACCTGGTGTATTACACTGCGATGATTTTGCTGCACCGCCCGTTCATTTCGCGTCTAGACGACCCGCAGAGCAGTGAGCAGGATGAGAGCGCGCCACACCACAACAAGCACAACGGCGAGTCGCCGATGCCATCGCACGCCATCTGCACATTGTCAGCGCAGATGATCTCGCTGATCGGCGAGGCGATCATCCAGGACTCGCGCATCTTCATCATGCCCTTCCTGACCTTCATGATGTTCACTGCCGGCACCATGCACCTGAACAATGTCATTGTGGCAGCCGACAGCTGGATCGCGCGACGCTTCCTAAAGCGCACCCTGGACGTGATGAGCCGCCTGGGCGCTCACTGGCAGGTCTCCTACAAATGCTACACTATGCTGAACACGCTGGTGCGCGCCAACCGCATTGGGTTGGACACTGTGATCGGGGACAGCGAGGCTGGTGTGCATCTGATCCGCGAGCGGTGCCGCGAGATCTGGCGTCTCGCGTACCAGGTCTACGAGAACCGCTTCACTGTACAGAGAGCGCGCGTCGACCACCCATCTCAATGCAATGCGCGGGGATGCTGGCCGACAGGCGCTGCCAATCCATGGACCAGTCGCCAGCTACCAGCCACGAGTCGTTCGGGAAGCGCCCCGATAGCCATGCCAGCGATCCACTGGCGATGTTCTCTCGCGACATAAAGACCAGCGAGTCCGCACCTGATCTGTATGTCCAGCAGCAGGTCAACCAGGCAAAGCACCGCCTGCAGCGCGCTATGGAACGCCAGGGGCTACGCACCATTGACGTGCACCGCCCAGAGGATGCTGCCAGATTGTCGAGCAAGATCATGAAGGACTCGCCCGAGATTGCGACCTACCTGACTGCCCGCCTGCACGTCGACCGCACCGGCAACCCCGTGGTCCCTGCGTCGCCATTCACCTCCGTCAATCTCAGCGACCCAGAGCCGCAGACCACCACCCCGAATAATGGCGTGCCGTCATCGCAAACCAACACAAGTGTGCCGCTGCTCAGCCAGTCCCGTGTGTCAGCGAGCCTGTGCGGCTCGGGGCAGCCAATGCCAGCGCTGAGTCTGGGCCAGTTCGTGCCCTCTCTGGAGTTCTTCGCCAATGCGGATTTCCCACTGGGCATCGGTGGCCCCAACGGCCAGGCGTCGTCGGTTTTGCCGCAGGCAATGAGCGTGCGCAACAACGCCGGGCCCTACTCGCTGCTCAGCTTCTCGGACCAGGTCGGCCCATCGCCCGGCCTAGGCCGTGTCAGTGTCCAGCACCTCGACATTCACCAGCACTGTGGTGGAATGCTGCGGTGCCGCCGCCAAATGCGCTCGTCTGTGGTGCAGCCGAATGCGATTCCCGCAGACTCGTACGGCAGACGGCGCCGGAAATTCGCAGCAATGCAGGCCTCGATGGGCTTGCAGGCTGGCGTCCTGCAGATGCCCGGGCACCCATGCAGGGCGGCTTCGGATACAATAACCCAAATAACGTCAAGTCGGCGCACATGGATCTCGACAGCAAGCTGATTGACGACGAGGTCATCCGCAATTTGCCTTCACCGGCCCTGTGTCCTGCGACCTGAGCCTCGCAACGAGAACGATCTGATGTCAGCGCTCTGGCCGAACAGCAATGTGCGCTCATCCACGCAGCAGTCAGCAGTGCGGGTTCCAGCAGCAGCGGGCGCCAGCAGTCGGGCATGGGAGGAATGCAGATACCTGCGGCGACTAACAGCAATGGGTATATTGAGATGCCGTGGAAGGACTATGTCAACCAGGTCATTGGCAGTATGCTTAATCCGGGCACGCCGGGCACGGGGCAGAGCTCGGACCGGGCCACCGATAACAATGCCATGCAAATGTAACCACCTGAATTAGAACCTAATATCTAATATTACACATGTACCAAAAAGTCACTGTGGCTCAGTGGCATGAGTTTGAAATATGTGCACTGATAGGTGCAGCTGGTGACAACATGGATGCCCACACTGGCACCTTTTAATGAAGCTTATAATCGCAATAGGTGTGAGATGGACGAATCGCTACATTTGGTTCTCATTTCCAAGTGCACCGCTGTGCTTCACATCAGAAAATATATACTCACGCTCACGAAAGGTGCCACATCAAGTTTGAATTTTAAATGCGTTTCGTAGTGAGGACATCTGCCTAAAATCAAGATGATGCCTTCGTCTCGCAATCCCAGTCCACTTGCTTCTTCGCTAGATTCTTTTGCAGGGCTCTTGTTCTTGCTATGGCTATACATGTTCCACGACCCGATGCCTGTCGACACATTAGAGAATCGGGAAACCTCCTCTCCTGGTGCTGCGCGTGGTACCTCATTAGTTATCAACAGTCCTTCACACTCGAAAGCCAACTCTTTTGTTTTGGCGCGTCCTTGCCATGATTCAAGTAGTAGCCGGTCGGCAAGTAGAATAATAGTGCAAAATTAGAAAAATGTAAAAAGTATAGAGAAAATGGAGATGTTTTTTTTCACAGAAGGCACTCATGTACAGCTATCAACCTGAAAGTGGCTGTCCAGATATAGCCAAAGCGAGCTCATGTGGGATAACAAGCTGCTGTCCTGTTTAGTAAG